GTACCGCGGATAAATACTTTGAACTCGTTTGTACTTATATATATATTGGTCATCATCCACAAAAGTAAAATCGTTTGGAAGCCGTATAGTACTCGGATTTGCTTTAAACTTTACATTACGCTGCCGGCACTTAAGCCTTTGCGAGCATCATCGCAAATGCATAATGAGGCTTGGACAGTTTTTGTCTTAAAAATCCGTAAGCATCACTTGCTGACCATGTTATACTACTATCCGCACCCTTCTGCAGAAGAAGCTTACGGCCTGACAGTCACAGTGAGCCTAATGCGTTTGATAAAGTCGCTAGTTTCTTGTTATTTATTTTATATATTGTTGATTTGCTTCTACTCAGAATGTTTATAAACGGTCTAGTAGTATTAATAGTACTGAAAACCGTAATCCTTATATGGTATTCATAAAATACTGTGATATAATATCATATTTAAGTATACACTGTTATTAGTACATGAGAAAAAATCAAAGCTACCTACTAATTTATTTATTATTAATGTTACTATTGTCATCCTTTTTTGATGTTTTTGGTAAATACTATGCAATGTGTAGCACTTACACTTTTAATTATAAAGCGATTGTCATTGAATTTGCTGTGGCCACTTGTATCTGAGCAACTTATTTCATCTTCTTTCGTTTAAGATAATTCCTGAGCTGGAACGTAACTTACACCGGTAAAATGTATCAGCATCGCTGTAAAAATACAGTTTTGTTATTGTTTTTGATTTATACCATTTGATTTAATGCTATGCGACGTACCGCCAGTTATGCAAATTTTTACGGATTAGCCAATAGCTGATCGTTATATTGCACAAGTGTTTTTTTTTTTTTTTTTTTTTTAATGTAATTTACCATTCACTTGCTAAGAAGCGACTTCTTTCAGTCTGACACATCATGTTGTTCTCCAGGTTGTGACATACGTATACCATTACATAATGAGATAATAATAATAACTACGCCAACAAAATATATAATGTGTATTTTATTTTGATACAATCTTTGACTCCCGACAAAGAGGCAAACCTAGCTTTTTATCTAAGCATTTCCATTAAACATTTCCACGTCGCACAACAATGTCACATGGAAAATGGAAGGCAATGGGGAAGTATATTAAAGATATTGACTATAGTATGAAGTAATAAATTGTATATATATATATACATGTTTATCTCTTTTATTGTGTATGTACGCACGTGCTAATAGATTAGGCGTAATCGTTACCGCTTGCTTGAACGTCGAGAGCAAAAAGGGTTGGTGAGAGGCGCGACTTCATTTTTGAAGAAGCTTAGTTGTACTTCAGCACGCGCCAGATTAGGCCGAAAGAAACGAAAATGAGATCACGGTGGTGTCTTCATATCTGTCGTACCGAACACTGGTCGGCTATGGCGGTTCTTTACTGCAGTGAAATGAAGGCTTTCAAGGCAGCGTACAGCAGCTCAGCTTGATCAAGTGGACATTTGGAAGGCTTCTGTGGCTGAATTGACAGGCAGATACACAGTCACCAAATACCCACGTTGCACGAGCTGTCTTTCCCATAGCGGTCGCAGCAAAAGCAAATTTAACGTTCCTCAAACTTTCGTGTCTTTGGCACGTGTTTTTGTTATTTTTTGCTCTGCGTACAGGATACTATTCCTGCTATTATATTTTGAGGCGTTTAAACAATACGAACGTAAGGATAAGTCAGCAAAAGGCAAACATATATCTATTTTTCTCAGACATAGATACTATAGACATGTAAATTTCCCGCAGTGTTTTTTTGTGAACAGTTGTTGTTCTTTCCGCTGTTTGCCAAGTTTCGTTTTCAATAGAAACGACACACACACGACCGCAGCCCAATAATGTATGTGAGCCAGTCGCAATTCTAGCATCGGCTATGCTCTAATGCGTACAATAGATAAAAGATAAATAAATACGTTTGTCATGCAAGGACATTAACATGGTTGCGAACATCATAATAGAAAATGGCCAAACCCAAATTGCCTGTTGTGATGTGGACGATAAAGGTGAGTGTACTGAACCTATACGCGCGGACACATACAGCATGACGAGCCATCGGTTACAATAGTGACTGTGTCATCGAACGGCTTAAAAAAACTAATGATTTTTTTTTAACGGTCATTATATACTCTATTTTTTCATTTTAAATTTATCACATGGACTGCCTGTATGGGCATGCAGTATGGAATTGAAGACTAAAAAAGGCATACTTCGTGTGAAAGCAAGATTTTGTGTTACGTTTCTTATGTTAGAGGACAGACAGCGAGTATCAGATCTGAATAGAGGCCCAAGGGAAGGTACCGAACGAAAGTCACATTCGCGCGTAATTTAAGTAAGAATCCTATATACAGTTGTCTGAATCTGGAAAGGAGAACATAAAGGACAGCCTAGAGCTTAGTTTTCGTATAGCAAATCGGAAGAAAGTCGCCGATCTATTAGCGTCTGTCCAATATGAGCAGATTATCGTAATGATCTTTATTGAGCTTAATTCGTCGCGGGCTAACAAACCTGCGCAGGTTTTCAAATAACCTTTAGCTTAATATTGAGCTTTTTCGGCTTCTTGTCCCTTAGTTTTCATTCAGATTTATTGAGATAGATTTGTCCCTTTCTTCGAATATGAACTAGTCTTTGACTGATTTTCTAATTTACATTAGCCGATTCAACGTCGGAAGCGGATTCTAGTATTAAAAGGATGAAGGTGCCGCATCAACGAGAATAAACATAGAACTTTCGGTAAGTACATCAATTTCATGTCTTCTTTGCATTCCTTTCAAATCTTATGTGTCTTCTTTGCCGCGTCGTTTCGGAAACTTCTCATCAAAAATGAGAATCTCTGCCAAAACAAACTGGTAATATTATTTTGGTACAAATATACAGCAAAAGGGCAATTGTTAATCGTTAACCAACACAGGAAGTTATTGTTGAAAGATTTCGAAGAGCTTAAGAAGCAAACTAACGATCAAAATTAACCTACAGGTCAGTGCCTAGATATGCCTTTAATTGATTAAAGTGTTAGTCATTTGAAGTTCATGATACCGCGTTCTACTGCAAGAAGGGTTATTTTTTTTTATCTGAAAACTCACGATTCTTATTGTGGGCTTGGTTCCAGATGAATAGCTTAGAGATGTTCCGAGTAGTCAGTATAATGGTATTAACATTGATAGAATACGACTATATGGCGAAGTCAAGTTTAAAAAAGGAACTTACTTAAAATAAGTATTTGGTATCGGCCAATTATAGACTCAATCGTTTCAGAACAATTCATGCTAACAACCCTAAAATTTCTAGATCTCGACAAAGATTCGAAATTTTACCGCATATATTATAGTTTGCCATTAACGAAGTATTGCAGAGGCATTATATATTCAAGCATCGTCGTTCTGGACACAAACCCAGGTATATGGTCATGGACGTGACATCGAATGGACTATAGAGGAAAACAGAGTGAAGATTGAGAACGTTTTGACAGTGTGATTCCCACACAACTGCCATTTTCCCGATGGCCAGTTGAACAAGTCATTTTACACATGCCACTACGTGGTATATGTTATAGAAGCGGCTTAACCTTATTTTTGTTAATTAGCTATTAAATATCTTCCAATTACTTGTAGAAGCCTCGGTTACAAAGTACTATAATGTGTCGTAGATAACTAATGGGCAGCATAGCGAGTGGTACCAGCTTAAACAAAACTACCACTACCGCTCTTTCATGTCCAAGACATCCAAATGAAGAGCATAAGGATCTGTTGGGCATTTTCTTCTGGCAAAAGGCATCAGCACCGAATGACTGGTTATCAATCTACTGCTCTGCTATTTACAATACAATAGGGCGGTTTGGTTAAGGAATGGTTTTTGTAACCCAGAACGTGTTTTATATATTCAGTTGCTCCAAAAAGCATCATTAACTGTTTCGGTCATTTCTACTATACATACGATAATTTACTGTTCTAGCATAGGCGGCTTTTAAAACATTACGAAAGACTCATTACCTTTTTTGAGCATACTATAAGGAGATGTTTTTTATACAGAATTATTATGAAGGATAACTCTGCAAGTCTAGCTTATACGTGACTTGAATGGAGATCATGTGTAAGGAAGCTATACTGAAATAGAAAGGAACTTATGTTTCGATAAAACTTGTTGAATGATTATCAAGGCCCAGCTTCACATCACTGCATTCGTATCTGAAATCGTATTAAGCTAAAGGTTCACATATGCATACGCTCGCACCGTTGTTTGTGATATAGGTTTTGATCATTGATTTTGATTTTGGGGTAAACCATTTAACTGGAGGATTAAGGAAAAACGTTAACAGAAACGTCATCTACACGATGAGACTCAGATGACGACGAACGAACTCCAGCAAGTAAATCGGCAGAAACAGAGCCGATCCGTCGGTGTACGTATGTATCATGCGTACATGTAATTCTCTCTCATTAGAATATCTGCCTATTCTCTTAGTTCTGTATATGTAAACAGAGTCTAGTGTGAGATAATTACCAGATGACCGTTTACGAGAAACCGATCTGCCGAGGTACCTCTCTCTCCATTACTTCAACAGTTCACAAGCAACGCTCCGGCCGGTCATCGTCATCAGGATGTTTCTGTTACTAATTTTATTATTTAAGCTAAATTTGTTACATGCCAAAATGAAATTTAAAACTAAATAAAATTTTAAAAAAATTAAGTAAAAGATAAAAACAATTTAACACCTTTAATATCATTTATTATTTTAGAATGGAAGGTTCAGTGCTTTCCATATTCGTTGGCTAAAATTTTGGAATAACCAACGAAATAAGAAGCTCGTTGAATTTGGGCCATTTCCGCATTTTACGAAAGTGGCATGAGTACCTTTTGAACCGTAACTGGCCTTTACTGAGCTGAGTTGCTTAATAAAAAGGTTTAAGTAAAAGACAACACTTATGGATGCGGACCTGATTTTTTTAGGAATAATCTTCTACTATTATTAGTACGCACAAACAATGAAGCAAACTCGTTTACTCTCGAAGAGACCGGTACACTTCATCGTGTCGTGGTACACAACCATTGCCATCCAATGACGCCGAAAGCAACCGTAAAGGTAGTATCTTCTTTTAAATCAATGAGTCTAATGTTGTCTTTTCTGTTAACGTTTGCGGTGCTAGGAGAGTCTTACTTCTAAATTTTCCGTGGACCGATAATCGGAGCCAACGAGTTTTCGCGCGTTCCAATAGCCCTTACTTGTTCGGCAGCCTTTCAAAGTTCGTATTCATGAATATAATTGCCTACTAAAAAATCAATAATTTCATTATCAATAGGTGATAATGGAGACATTGTAAACATGATGACGACCTCCCATTGTTTAAGCGAAACCTTCAATGAGACGCTAAACGGGGATATGTCACACGGTACCGGAGTATATGATTACTCATCCCACATAAACATAACATTATACGGTAGCAAAACAGTAATAACAGATCATCTCACTATAACTGTTTTGCCCGTTCTTTACGTGCACGATATTTCCTATGGCCTATCTGAATCTCTCCCTGGCGCGACCTCGAGTGCAGTTAAGGAAAGCGTTCGAAGCTGTTTTATGCCAGCGTGGCAATGCAAGTGAAAAGCCTTTTGCTATTCCTTTCTCTCTTTCACTGCATAAAATGCATTTAAGAGGCGGACACATGTCAAACGGACAAGGGAGCTAAGGCAAGATAGTTAGAGAAATGGGTCCTTTGGCGCAGAGTTGTTGTTGCTTTTTTGAGTATCGAAAGTCCCAAATAATTTTTCCTTTTTGTCGCTGGCTGTGACCTGAAGCACATAAAAAGTGCAACGGAACTAATTCTTAGTTGGCTTATTCTTTTTCTGTTTTGTAGAGAGTTTTAGTACAGTTTACGTGGGGTCAGTACCACTAGAGCATAATATCAACCTTATGGGGGCCGAACGTTGGGTTTAGATTCGCGGATGATTCCTATTCCCGTTGAGACCACTATTCATTAATTCTAAATCCCCCTCTAAAGGTTTACTACAAATCTGCCCACCGGATCATCAGACCAGGATTACCCTGGTTAGATTTCCCACCTCTCTAGATGAGCTAACCTGATAAAGGATCATTCGTCATGTTGCTTAACCGTAACCTTACGAGCTCTTTTCTTTCACTCAAGATATTTCGAGCCAGTGTCTCACACCCAACACTCTCATGATTGAGTGATGATAGATACAAAGCGTTTCCTGGAGACAAGTTTCTCAAGTTTACTAGAGATAGTTTCTTACTTCATGTTTTATTCTCTAGTCTCGTCAGGTCTACAGGTCGCCGGCCTGTTATGCGCCGTACCTTCCAAGCCTGCAATCCAGAAAACATAAATGTACGATGGGTTTTGATCGATTTCGTGAGAGAAGGTTTGAAACACTTCGTGACTCGTGAGGATCTGTATGCGCTACCGAGAAATGCAATTTAGGTTTGTATGTTACGGATAATGTCTGTTACTGCTGCTCTCGGAGCAAAATTAGATATTGTTTTTCACTCTTCTTGCAACATTCTCAAAACCTTGCCTTCCGCATCATCCGTGGTATCGTACCAGAACATGTGCTTTTCTTCGGCTCTTAGGTCCTACGAAACAGTGCCTGTCAGGACCAACGCCGAGGTTGTGCTAACCGTGTGGTAGGCTTGGACAACCCTAAGCGCAACAATTTGCTGGGCACCTTTAACTAGTTTTGGCCGTGATCCAACGAGTTCGGGTAATGTCCAGACAGGTGCCTAAGGGGCGAAATCGACTTCACTACTGCCTAACAAGCGCCTTTTTCGTTTTTCGGAAGCCATGCTAGTTTGGCAGTATTCTGGCTACTTCTAAGAGGACTCTAGTCACTCTTGTGACAGTTTGCTTGATGGGGTATCCTCCCGTGATTGCGTGATCGATGGTTGTCCAAATATCTCGCCGTTTTTACCAGGTTTATTCTTTCCCCCTTTAAAGTGAGTAAGGAAATCTACATTTTTTCTTACCAATCTGTTTCCGCAAGCGATTCTGACTTTCAGACAGAAAAGCTCCTTTCTTCGGTAAAGTTTCTAAGCCTTTGCTATATTATAGCCTCTATAACTTTTTTAAGAATTCTTACTCTTAAGGGATAAGCACCACTTCACCTTTTTTCACTCTGCCTAAAAACAGCCTGAGCTGAGGATAGATGTGGCAACTACGGCAACATCTCAGAGAGATCTTGTAGCTACTCTTTTTGATACATTATTTTGATTTTAAAATTCCGTTTTTCATCAGCTCGATCAAGAGGTTGGTGAGATGGGAACAAGTATTTTAAGACCCTTATTTTCTTCTTTTCTGGCAGAATATACTTCTTCTTTCCCCTATGGCCAATAAGAGCAACTTCGTGTGTGTTCCCATATTTCTTACGGTAAAATTTTCCAGCATTCTTATTGTACCTTTTATTTTGAATACCGGCTTTCGTTGCCTATAATTTTCAGTAGTCTCTTGGAGTGTTGTCGCCCACTTTGATTCGTTCGTTTCCTTTTAGCTTAGTTAGATATTGATGGACTTTAAGCAATGTCTATATTCCACCAGTAGTTTGGTTTCCATTTTCGATTCATCTTGTGAAACTTTGTTTCGCAGATTTCTACTAGAGGACACTGTACATCTTTACTTTGCAGGTCTACATATTCATGAACCTAACATGTTATAGCCTCCTCTGGTCCTCCTTTTTGTAGGTACGCCAGTGGTCTTCTTGTGCAAGGACCTCTGCTTGCTGCATGCTATGTGCACGGAAGGCATTATGATCGCCTAATACTTCTTCTTCAAAAACTCTACAAACAACAAGTCCACCTTGTATATTGTATATATGCAAAGGAAGAATGCGTGGCGCAGAAAAATAGGCACGTCGTCCGTATTTAGCGTTGTCATTTTTTGCGTGGTAATCTACTTTAGCTGCTGATCCCTCTGCCCTATAAATTTCCTGTGCCTCTGATGGTACCGCCAGGCGCCCAGCAGTGGCCATCAGAGTATTTCCTAATTTCGTCATTGACTCCGCTACGTCGTCTAAAATTCTGTTTGAGTCTTCTATAGCCTTATTGGGACTTGTTTATTAAAAGTCAATAAGAGCTAAATTTCAGATTTCTATCTAGGAAAACTCTCGTAGCAATTTCTTTGTTTTCTTTTTCGCATGCTACGCTGCCGGTACTGCACACCACTTGTCGATCGTTCGTGCTGTCATGTTACATCTTTGCCATTCATCGCTTTCACAGCCTGCCTTGAGGGAACAAACACTGCAACCAACTCATTGTGTTCTTTATCGATGTCAGGACCTTAATAGCAAGTGATTTACGCACACCATTTAGCACGTGTCTATGAGGTGTCTAACAGCGTCACTTGAAACTTGAACACCGTGTTCCCTCAAGTACTTTCCCTCGAGGACATAAATTGTTTTACCGGTTTTTCCAGTGTTATCTTGCCGGCTAGTTTATAGTCCCTGCTCACCACTTGATTTTGGACGCCCTTTTATTCGCCTCATTATATAGATTTTGATATAGGTAGAAGCCGTATTTGACTTTTCTGTTTGGCTAAACATCGAATTGCTTAACCAATTTGATCGGCTTTAAAAGCCCAAGAACAGTCTTTTTCTTACTAACGCAATTTTTATACGCCTTTTGAAGATCTAACATTCCTGACAACTATTTGCGTCCTTCTACCTTTTTTCTACTTTATTCTTCCCTCTGTGGTGTGAAAAGCTCCATATTCGTTTCATGCACGGTAGAGGTTGGGCTTTTCGGCTGTACCTCGCTCATTCAGAGGTCATGAGATCCACGTACATACTTTCGAGGCGTTAATCTGTCCCACAGAGCCCGAGTAGTGTTATGGATAGTAAAGCCGTTTGAATCCGAACGTTCGCCGCTTTTGAAATTATTTTTCATGAGCTGATCCGCAACGCATTCTGTCTAGCAGACCACCAATTCAACATGGCCTAAAGCCTTTATTTTAAGGCTTTAGGCCATGCTCTGCAGGGCCATCAGTCTTTCTGTACAGTGTGATAAAAGTAAGATAACAGTCGGTAGACTTGTCCGACCGCACCTGGCTCGGATTGCCTTGCCTGTCTGTCTGCTGCTATAGTGGCCATGACGTAGGAAATTATTAAACTGGCGACGGAAAATATCTTCGAATCACCTGTTATTGCGCTTCGTACCTCGATTAGTTAGTCGCTGTCGCTAACAGCTCAGATTCTACAAATTTTCGAGAGTCAAGATTAAGTACAGCCGGTCTCCGCGTAGCTGAAACCATTTATATCTGGGTAGTTGTCGTTGGATAAAGACCAAACTGATGCCAAAGGTTGGTGGGGGGTTAGTCGAATCATGCTTAATCGATGTCAGTGGAACAACTGTGGTTGTTCCACTGACATCGACAACAAAAAAAGGTCTCCTTTCAAGACGAGGCACTTAACTCATGCTCAAGGGGAAGCTTTTTTAACTATGAACGGTAAAGCGGGGAAGAACTTTACAGCTTCAAGCAAATAAATAGGAAGCTCTATCTATCCGTAGTTGAGTTGGTCGCTTCATAAGCCCAAGCCGACTAAACAAGCGGAAAGACGCATAAAAACTTTAAACAAACACTGCGTCATGTTTCTTCAGGACACAACTGAACTCTCTAAAATTAGCTTCTGTTTGTTGTCTTTCTTGAGTTCGCAAGTGCTTCTTAGCTCCAAAGGAAAAAAAAGTTCACAGTTAAACCTATACACGAATGTATCCGTTTGCCTCTTTTGTGGGTACATACGCATTTCTTTAACAGTCTGAAGATGAGTAAATGTAATTAGGCGACTGCGGCAATATAAATCAAGATGATTGTCCCATTATTAACTAGATTTCTTGCCAAGTATGCGAGAGCGACAAACAGCACGAAATAGATAACCCTATCAGCACTGCCATTGATTTTTAACGGCCGTTCTCATATACTTGCGTTCGCTAAATCTGCCTTAGCAGTAGTAGATGGGTCGTACCGTACGAGACACATTTTTAGACCAAAACAAAATTTTGATGAAATTGTTGTTTTTATGTTGCATAGTAACGGAAAAACACGTGTCTGAACTTTCCATGTTTGTATGTGTACTTTCTATTTGAAGGAGAATAACGTTATGCACTGACATTCAGCAAAAAGATAAAGCCTGAACTAATTGTCGACATAAAATTGCCGGAAGAGGCAAACGTCGGAATTTACCAGAGCTTGTGGAACTTAGCTCGAACCTTCGAACAGCGGTCTCAAACCTGAAATCCATCGTCCATAGAGTTTAATATCAACTCTCAAATTCTGCACTGCCTTAAAAGTCAGTCCTCAGCTTACGTCGCCGCCTGTTGAACGTGCGAAACCTCGCATTGGTTCTCACTGACGGATATCCAATTCGAGAACTGAACCAAAGAGCGGCCCTCGAGCTGTTATCACCGTGGGGATACATACGATCCTGAAGGTTAAACTTTTGAAGTTATTTAGAGAAGCACTGTGCATGTTGCTGTGTGGAAATAATATTTGTTCATATTAAGAAGATAGGTTAGTGCATGAGAAATTTAAATAACAAGCATACGTAAAACTGACCCTGAAGTCGAAACTTCCGGTGGTAAATACAGTATTTTCTGTCTTCAATTACTAATCAACACTTCAAATTTCTGACCGAGTAGATGTAAATCCTTGTAACTAAATAGGTATTGTAAAAAAAACCAGATCGTTTATATTTTTAGTAAGTTTAATTGATTCATTGTATGTTTTTCCCGCCATTATGTATGCTTATCGGTAGCTTTTGCCAGCGGCATCCTCGAAACGAATTATCGGCTATTTATTTTCAAACACGTGCGGCATGCACAAAATATAAATGAGAAAAAGTACATTACTCACACCCTATTCAACAAATTCATACGGAACGAATTCCAACCGTACTGGTGAACTTCAGTTACTTTCCTTTATTTCTTCAAAAATTGCTCTTTTTATATATGCAGATGAAAAAAGGGTTCCTTTGTTTCCATCTTCTTTTTACCGTACTCACAAGCACATTCATTGGACTTTTTCTCTGACGCCTGGTAGGAGGTGCCCTTCCGCGCCGCGCCGTAAGAAGCGAAGAGCTGGAGAGTCTCAAAGGAGAACAACTCTACAAACTGTGTCCTAATTCCTAGGAAACATAAAGAACGTGCAAGGGAGCATATTTCATGACCGTAGAAGAAAAATGATTTCGCACACAGCATATCCAGTTTAACATGGGCGATTTGAAGGCGATTTAAAAAAAAATGTTGAATGGCAAATGATTTGTTATATACAGGAACATTCGCTTAATCGGGGGGAATAGGTAATCCTTGAGATTTTCCGATGTCTTCATACTAAAAGGGTCCACAACGGACGAGCACTTCTCGTACGATTATTACATATTACAGGCTTTCATATTAAATTGTATCTATACTATATAAAACTGCGTACTCACGAAGCTGTTCGTATATTTAGGGAACTTACCCAATATTATTTGAATTATTTTCCATCATTTTCAATCCGCTGTTTTCTTTATCCACGCGCTCTAAGTATACATGTTATATGTTAACATGTGGACATGGACTAAGTTATATGTTAACTTAGTCCATATCGAATAGGCTATCGACGCGTCTCATATCATCGGAAGTTACAGCTAGTGTTTTTTCCACTACCTGATGTTTTATTATGATGCTAGTTTTGACTTACTGGTTAAGTCCAGTAAGTACCAGTATGTTTTCGAATCGATCATTTTTCGTAATAGCTTAACTGATCAGATCATTGCGACTAGGTATCTTGCAACGTACGTTAGTGTCTTAATGTGCCGGACACTGAGTTTCTGAGAATTGTGCTTATTGGGGTCACACGCTGCGAAATAGCTTTACAGTCACCATGTTTCACTTACATTTAATATGTTACGACAATTATAATATAATAATATTTTTGTTCCTCTCGATTTGCATGTTTTTAGCTCTGTCTCACCTAGCCATCCCAATACGCTGTTAAAAAGTTCGGGTAAACAAACACATACTGCCGTTTGTTTCTCTGCTACATATGTAACCTAATTATTTTGAGGAGTTCTATCTGAACCCTCCAGCCATACTGAGAAATAAGCACATGAAAACGTTTGATGGCCCAGCTGAATCACTATCCCAGTATGGCTATCATTAGCTCATTGCACGTTTTAGTTAGTGCTTAGCATTTTGGCTGCTGAGATGCGGACGAAGGGTTGTGTACTCCACCTTTGCGGAACCTTACGCCTGAGACACGCCACAGAAGCTTAGCGTAATTATTATGTATAATGTACAATATAAAATAATATAGCGCATTATGTATAACTGTCTGGCCAGTTGTACATAATGCATGCGATCCTAATGAGAGGTTTTTAGAAACGCCGCTCTCCATCTATCTGCCAGCTATGGTTGCTTCCTGCGGACAATCCGACAGTAGCAGCCGCCCACTAGGCATGCTTTGTTTAAAAAGGTATGGGAATAGGCCTCCAAGCGTATTGCCTACCACTGCCGTCACCGCCTGTCCTACCAGAATGTAAGCACGGGCAAAATACATATTCGTTCTTCCCCAGATTCCGATACAGACATGGTCTGCTTTTTTTGACAAAACTGTGCCAGTAACCCGGTTACTAGGGGGACGAGAGACCTTTTTTTTTTGACCTTCTTCCAGAATCGACCGTAGGTTCATGACCATTTGACATAAGAAATGATAGAGTTACATGAAGACGTGCTAGCCCTCCGTCGATGCCTGTCAGCCTTCGGTGCTTGACTCTAGCTTTTACTTGGTTCCGTTAAAGCTGTTAAAATGTGGATCGGTTCTAAGGCAACGCAACCTCGCATCCGTTGTGTGCTAGAGCAACATTGAACGATCGTTAGCGTATTGCTGCTGGACGTATACTTTGAGATTTATCAATTGTCAACATGACCATTGTTACCAACAGTATGAGCGCAACGAAAGCCTTCCCTTTTTCCGGAATAGAGGCGAAGCCCTTCCGCTGCGTTGTGTAATTGTCCGATGACGTCTAATTTTGCGAAAGTTTGCCCGGCTTCCGATGCCCCATACGGTGGACCCACTCCGCAGTGGTTAATGTCCGTAAAAACGAACAGTCCTCTGATCGGCTTATTCGGTCACGTACCTCGTGTGCTGCAATACGAAAATCTCAAGGAGCACTTAAACGCTACGCAAGTTTTTCCTGACTAGCACACGTGTACGTTGCGCATGACCTGGTGCAAGGGCAAGTTGTAAAGAAAGATAAGGTTACGGAAGCCTGACGCGTGATAACGAACACTTACGGGTAGGACATACATAGCCAGGTGACTGAATATTACTGTTGTCAAGTTGATATTTTGGTGTATATGATTCAGTGTAGTATCAACAAGTATTCTGTGCAGGTGGTACTTAACGTTAGAAAGAAAGAGTTCCGAGTATTAGAGAGTGTTATACCACGATGCGTAGAAGAATTGATGGCCTTTATAATGTTTTTATCAACATTAGGTTGCATTTTATTATTTCTAAAAGTTGTGTATTGTGTATGTGTGAATAAAGAAAGTTATTTTTATACATTATTGACCATTAAGCACTGCTCAAAAAATACAGAACGTTCAACCAAGTGAAACTTATCTTACAGCCCAACATTATCGAAAGTATTAGGCCCGACCCTAAAAGTAGCCGTGTGCGTCAATCACCTTATCCAATTAGATTGACAGTTAATTGGGCAGATATTATTGCTCGTTGCCCGAAAGACTGGTTTCATCGCATACATATATGCATCACCATATACGTTACCAAATCTCAGGTTGAAACCACAGATTGCATAATGGACGACTTCATCAGCTGTATTAAATCGCTTTAACAAAATATATGATCGGAAACGTTCCACTCTGACTAACCGGAATCACTGATCTGCCCCAGCGAAGGCTGGGTCGGAACGACGCCCGGTGAACTGTTTCCAGCAATACCGAATCATTGCGACTCCGCGGTAGCATTGTAGTAATAACAGTTGTATCCACCCCAGCAGTTCACTACTGTTATTCAGCCCTAGCTACACGTTTAACGTAAACACATCAGAACACACAACAGCAACACAAAATATATTTTTTTGTTAATCATTTCACAATGGGTGAGCAAAATGAATACAGACGTTGTTTCTATCCCTCACCGTCGGTCTTGTATAGCGCGTGCCGTGCCGTGCCGTGCCCTTCACTCCCCGTCAAAGAAAAAAACGTCATCAAGCAAGTATCCTTGTGTCGTCTGTCGTGCCTTTCTGATGCTTCATAGAATTGCGGAGGCGCGAAATACATCTTACGCTAACAATAACTATAAAAATTATCATGCTTGAATTACAGTCGAATAATTCTGATGACTTTCATTTTTTATTCACCGTGCATACATACATACATACATACATACATACATATATATGTATGTAACACACAGTTGGTTGGAGCATTGAACTTCGGTGAGCACTGGCAAAATTTTTTCATACATGACAGTCTTAGGATATTCGCGGCCTTCTAGCGGAATTATCAAATATGGACTGCGATGGACCGATACATCAATACAGTATACTCAACAATATTAAAAATATAACTCGAGCCACGTGAAGCGAAGAGACTTCTTATAATGAAAAGGTCAGTTTTGGGCAAAACATTGGTGATTTAACTCCTGTAGACTACTGAAGCTCCTTGAAAAGCCATTGTAAAAAGAAAATATATTTTATATTGGATATAGTTATTTATGATCAGTTGTTTATTCGCGTAATCGTTTAGTCTATTTCTATAATTACTAGTTTAGCTTCTCCTAAACGCCTAAGGACGACTAAAATACCGCTTAGTTTCCTGCAGGTGGTAACGTTTTTAGACACGTTTCTCCTACAAAGTACCTGAGCGTAACCGAAAAACTATCGTTGAAAAAATTTTATTTGAACCCATGAAAAATTACGTATCTTATTCAGGCACTTGATGACATTTTTGTGGAGTCCGAACTAAATTGGATTGCAAGGCAGACATATGTTTTCGTTTAGTGTCCTTAACTGTATAGCGTATACAAGGATTCTGTCTACAAGGCCTTTACCTGTTGTCAAATGATCTTGTCCTGCCCGATCGGTATCAACCATATCCTATTATATAAATGAATATCAAATTTTTAAAGAGATATTATGTGAGATTTTGCGAAATAGGTCAGCTTCAAAAGTTTAAGGTAGAAAATATAGTAATTTACCTTTTCCAGCAAATTTCTTGGTTAGGCTCAGTTTATCGTATTTACGCTACTTGTGATCGAATTTGATACATACCAATCTATCCTATGTAATTGAGTTACGTTTCAGTAGTGAGCGCCGATTTTGAATACTGATGGGCATAACACCGAGATTTTTTTCTAAACAGTTACTTCAGTTGAAGTGGATGTCCTTTTCCGTTTACTAAAATACGACAACTCGATTGATGTACGCCAACTGTTGCTACAACAAGCGCAAGTGTTAAATTGATCTTTCTAAAGACGGGATTAGTGTTCCAAATTCAGCTTCCAAATCGAACCTATTTCGCAAACGGTAATTTACGACTTGTGAAGAGGTCGATATTAATCTGTTTTGTATAGGATAAGTCTCGTACCGATCTGGCAGAGCACGGTCATAGGTCCCTGGTATATTACTCTAGAACATCAAGTGCGGTGAGGTTTTCAAGAGTTCCGTTTTGCGGAAGCATGCACTTTTTCGCTGATGCTGGGCATTTCCAAGGCCGAAACGAATACGTAATACTTTTAAGGAAAGGGGAGATATGCCAGCGATTTAAATTTACTAGAGTTGGTTCATCTGGATCTTAGAGTCAATGTAGTGCCCTTGAATCATAACAGCGTTCACTATCAGTCGTATATACATTTTCGATATAATCATAGACAATGTTTTAGAAATAAATTAGTCTCTAATCGCAAATGTACTATGTAAAACTATATATATATATATATATATATATATATATATATATACCCATAACGAAAGTAAAAAAGATTTCACTGTGCCACCTCAGTCGACCATTACGACCGCATCCACTTGTATGTAGGATATAGCCGCGTATAACCTATTTCTAATCATTTTAAGCCGTTCAGACGATTTCTGAATTACTTACAAATATAGTAGGTAGTATTTATTTGGACAGCGGTATGAAAACAAGGTAAATGCCAAAGAAACTATTATCATACGTAATAACATAGCATTCAAGTTGGATCACATCATTTGATTACAGTTTCTATGCCCTCTGAATTGTTGGATAGGTTAGTTGAACAGAATCTCTTTCATACGAATTCGTAGATTGTTCTGTAGGGTGCTAGGGTCGACTCGATTATATGTGAGATGACGGTTCTGTGGGTGTGCTGATA